GATTATTTGTAAATTAAATCGTATGTAGCATTTTTGGTATGATTCATATCTGTTAGATCACCCAGGATCGCTTTGACCCCTTAAGCGTAAACAGCCTACCACACAGTAAAAAGAAACTGTCCCCATTGGGTTTATCTTTTATCTACGGCGGAACTGAAACAAGCACCGCTCACTCCTTTTTTCTTTGCAGAGACGGTTGTGGTTGTATGCTTTGCTTAGATACCTTTGGGCGGCGTGCTTGATCTTCAGTGGTTTACTGGAAACTTGTTATGAGTGTACTTTGTTCCCCTGTCTCTCGTTTGCAACATTTTCCCTTGGCTGCCTCGAATCTCGCAGCTACAACATTGAAGGGCAAAGCCTCTTTATGAGATTATAATTCAAACCCATCCTATGTATTGTATTACCACTACTTCCTGAGCACTCTCTGAATTTAAATAAAGTTTCTAGGCAATTATTATTCATTGGATTGCAGGACGTTTAAACATCATATTAAAATGTGAATGCAATCAGACTTAAGGGAGAGTGTGAAGCAGTGTTATTTTACAGATTATGGAGCTGATGTAGCAATTGTTGCAGGTATTGTGGTTAGACATGTTGGAGCATTTTGAACAATGCCCGATGATAGCGTGCAGCTATTACCATAACAATGACACATAAAATATTCCTCCTGAGAAATCAGTTCAGTTGTTCATCACTGACTTTTTTTTTTTCTGAAATACAGCAATGAAAGTGTCCCTTAACAATCTCTGTAAGTCATTGGATATTTTTAACAACAACTGTAGCTAGAGACATTGACTTATTACTTATGAATTAGAAGCATCCAATGTTGAACTGTCCCTCGCTTGCTGAAGCAGTCCAGCATAAAATGATTTGCATATATAATATATAACATTTTAACATTTTTCTTCTGCACATGAAATTCAACTAAAGTGTCCTCAGTAGCTCAGATACTGTTAGTCTATGGAGACTCTTTTTTTTTTTTTGCTCGTTTTTGGAGCTGGCATTGGCTGTGTTAAGTGCAATTTTGTATGCCCTTATCTTGCTAACTTCCTTCCGCTTCGTTCACTCATGTCCATCATTGCTTATGTTGCCTATACTGGCAGAACCCTTAAAGAACACTCCGACTTTTTGGGACTTTAGCTTATTCACCATATCCCCCAGAGTTAGATCCATACATTGTCCATACATACCTTTTTCATCTCCGTGCAACCCGGTCTCATCCCAAGACGTCATATAACTGATGTTTTGGGACGTCTTTTGACCATACGTGAATATTCGCCTTTTTAGGGCCCCCTTAAACGTCGGTAGATGAGGTTATGGGATCCTAACTCTACCCCAGACCTAAACCTAACCCTAAACCTAACCCGTCACCTAACTGACGTTAAAGGTAAAGCGTCAGTTGTATGACGGCCCGGGATGGCCATCTACCGACGTTTAAGGGGGCCCTAAAAAGGCGGATATTGACGTATGGTCAAAAGACATCCCAAGACGTCAGTTATATGACTTTTTGGGATGAGACTGTGTTACTCCGTGCATGCTGTAACTCTGTCGTCACATACAGTAGTGTACATAGTCGCATAGTGTACAAATAACAAGGTCATCTGAGAAACAGCCATCTTTTAACCGTATGGATTATGCAGAGGCTCTGTTCTTTTCTCTTTTGATATACTGTATGTTCATAATATTCATACAACAAAATGGGTTGTGTATAGTGTGACTGATAAGGAAATGTTTTTTTTGGTCCCTCTGCCCTTCAAAATGGCAGAAATGTAAAAATATCCCTTTATGAAATAATTTCAAGGCTATGTCTGCACACAAGTCTGTAGTTTGTCTGCTGTGTGATTGATGCTTTGTGCCCATTACAGTTCAGAAAAGATTACATGTTAGTCATGGTCTACTGTTACAGCACCAAGGGCATGTAGCTACTGTAGTAGAACAAAATCCTTTTTAAGTCTTTTCCACTCCACAAAGATTATTTTCCTTTTTTCAGGGAAATGTCCTTGTGCTTATTCAGGAAATCTGCTGTAAATGTTATTAAAAACAGATGCAGGAGCAATAGGGTGAGAGGCTGAGAGCATTAAATATTCCATTAGGATAATGATAGAACAGCATGGATTCTGTGTGTGTGCTATATGCTACTGTATATGAGCCTGTTCACGTTAAGATGCATAAGGCATGTTGGAATGAAAGCCATTTCAATGCTAATGTGACTCAAAGTCTCTCGCGGAGGTAAAAATGCCATCTGCGCGGCTGCATCAATATATGCCTCTCAGTTTCAGCCTAATTCTTAAGGGTCCATCTGTTCAATAAGAGCAATTAGTTTATCTAAACTGAAGTCACCTGGCTGACTTTTACCTTACCTGATTGGATCTGGGAGGTCAGGAAGGTTGATGAAGAAGAAGCAGCAGCGAGACACACAAACAAACACACACACGCATATACACACACATACACACATTTTGAGATTAAAAATGTGAGATTACATTTTTATGAATGTCTAAAGGAAAAGTGTAAATTTTAGTTCCCTTTCATATGCTGCGTTCAAGTCCTCCTGGGGAGTTCGTACCGTACGTACGAGGTGGGAAGTCGTGTTTACGACGTGAGGTGTGTTCAAGTCAGTTTCGTCGGGGCAAAATGGCAGTGTACCTACTTTTAATGAATTACACGAAAATACAGCAAGGTTTGTTAACTCTGCTAATAAAAAAAAATGAAGAACAAAGAATGCGCATCAGGTGTGTTTTTCTTTTTATGTTTTTTTATTAGCTTATGAAGCCAATGTAAACTCTATCATTAGGTATATTATTTATATTACAATGATATCATATTTTGTGCAGAGAGCTTGCTTTATAAATAAAAAAGCCTTACAATGTCAATGAGTAAACATTGAAATTCAATTAAAATTTACCGTCAACAGACGTTGAATGAACGTTTCTCACTGACACGCCCCCAACTCGTATAGATCGGAGCTTAAAGAAAATCCCGAGCTCCCCACTGGTATTTACGACATTGTGGTGGCGTTCAACTCGAAATTACGATCTATTCGAGATGAATTGAACGCTCGACGCGTCACTACCCAGATAGCAAACTGACATTGAATCAACGTGGAAATATGACATCGAAACAACGTTGATCTGACATTGTTTTGCTCATCGAATTAACGTTGAACCAACGTCAGACGCGTCATTCTTTCAAAACTAACGGAAAATCAACTTGAAATCAACGCGTTGTTTCAACGTTATGAAAGCAAACCAATTTTCGATTTCATTTAGCTTTGAAGAATGCCGCGTCTGACGTTGGTTCAACGTTAATTCGATGAGCAAATCAACGTTGTTTCAATGTCATGAGAGACGTCGTTTCCACGTTGATTCAATGTCAGTTTGCTGTCTGGGTACGAGTTATGTTGTGGCGACGAATGGGGTTTCACTTAGAAAGCCTATCAACTTCGAGTATTACAAAACGAGCCAATGGCAAAGAAATGCCATGGGTCTGCGGAATTTGCTTAGCGTAACTCCGTGTTAGAGGTACAAAAAACACATGTTGTACCGCAGTCTATCACTGTACAGAATGTATTTTCATGTTTTTGTAAGTACACCCTGCCACCGTTCTCATCTTAGACATGTTTGAACTGTACGTACATGCTAATGTGTTGGGGCAAGAGTCAGATGCACTGAACTACCATGAGAAAGGCACGTAGCCATATTTAAAAGACAGATCGCCTGCAGCTTCAAATGACACAAGGGAATGAACAGCAAGGCCTTTTACTGTTTGCTGCGCTCCGAGGGGGCTCAAAGCAATGATCAAGCAGAGGGAACAAAAATATGATTAAAGAGTAAGACAGATGCAGGCACCCTGTCTTCTAAAAAGAGAGTATAATGTAGGAAAGAAAGCTTTTGAAGAACAGTTTTTGCCACATTAATCCTGAGGTTTGGATATTATGTTAGTTATTACTGATAGATTCAGTAAAGCAATGAATCATGCCTCCTCACAATGCTTTGTAAATGGTGAACAAATAATTCAGGCTGTTTTAGTCTCCCAGGCATGTGTTGGATTTGTTTTCCTCTGAATATCTTAAGAGCAAGTTTATATTCTCTTTATATTCTCAAACAATCTTTTGTCACCACTTCTGAGAAGATGAAAAAAGACACCAGCTTGCATCATGAATTTTATTTATTGTGTTTTCACAACAACAGTCAAACCTTGGGGGCCGGCCCCTCTCAATAGCATCCAATCAAGTGAATAGCAGTCACAGAGTCTGACCGATGTCAAGAGAGTTTATGAAAGTAAAAAAAAAAAGAAAAAAGAAAAGCTCATTATGCCTCTTGTTCCTTTGTTCTAGGATGGCAGAAATAGAACCAATTTGCTTCTGTGGAAAGTTCAGCGAACATAATCAATTCATATTGGAATTAATTATTTATTTTTGTCCATGGAATGAGGCACCAAAACATGAACACCAATGTGTGCACACGCACACAAATGACATAGGCAGTCGCATTATACTACTGTACACGTTTCATTGTAGCACAAATGTGCACCGTATACTGCAGCGATGTGCATGGAACTAAAATTCTGTTTCATTCAGACATTAATCTGTCACAGTTCTCCAGGCAAGACACAATGACCTCAGCACCAAGCCTGCAGGAAATCACAGTGGGGGCGCAATGGAATTCATTTATAATTCATATCAGGCGCACAGCATTTTATTCTCCACGGAAGAGGCTTATAGAACAAACCTAAAGCGAAATCTGATATATTTCATTAAACCTCATATATGGCTCATTAATTATACTTGTGTTAAGCTAACTGATGTATATCTCTTTGTAAGAATCATTTGGGGCCAAAATAATGTAACTTATAGTTAATAAAGGCTTAAAGGAATAGTTCACCTGAAAATGAAAAAGCATTTATCCACACTCATGTCAACACACACACACACACAAAAAAGGGTATTTTGAGGGAAGTTTCGGCTGTTGATGAAAGTCAGTCGGTACCAATGTCTTTTGTACCCCAATGACTTACGTTGTATGTTACAACTGTTACAAAATTCCTTAAAATATCTTTTGTGTTCTGGATAAGAAAGAAAGTCATGGCAGTTTGAAGCAGTGTTGTTAATGTTAACTAAAACCATTAAATATAAATATACAAAATCTTTCATTCCAAAATGGTTTTCATTAATTGAAATAAAAGCTTAAATGAAATAAAATTTAAATATTAGATTAAAAACAAAACAAAATTAGACATGTGGCATTGGAAATTAACTGAAATTGACGGAAATTGCTAAAATACAAAAATAAATTAAAAGCAAATTCGAAATGTTAATAAATACTAGAATAGTACATAAATAATACTAAAATAACATTGGTTTGGGATCAACATGAGGGGGAATAAAAGAGAGAATTTTAATCCAAGATTAGTTGATTTACCCCAAAAGTGTATACAGTATGGCTGTGGGACTGTATAACTGACCTTTTTTGTTTGAACATCCCAACCAGGGGTGCGTTTCCCGAAAGCATCGTTAGCCAACTATGGTCGCATGTTAGTCGCAATTTCCACTGAACTCTATTGGTAACGACGGAACTTACGACCATAGTTGGCTAACAATGCTTTCGAGAAACGCAACCCAGTACAGCATAGCAACACAGACTCAACCAATGGCGTGAGTTTGGTGGTGTTACTGTCGGTTTTCCAGACCAATGACAGATGAGAGTTTGTTTAAAGTTACACACTCCCGCTCTATGTAACACTGATATTAAATTATGGATCTAACTCCAACAGTGAAGACTTTGTATTTAGCCTACACTGAATGCAGAAACAGACCCCCGGTGGGATTCCTGCCACTAGCACTACAGTGACATTGTCTGAATATGCAGCTGATCCCAGTTTGGCAATGTGCAAAAGAGTATTACACCAGCGCTTAATCCAGACACATCTGAAGCATGCTGGTGGCTTGCTAATCAGCTCTGTGAGGATTAGCATCAGGCTAGCGTCATTCCGCAAGGCAAATCTTGTCTAGTCCAGCTAAAAGCTTCCTTTCCATTCTGAAGGAATCTAGAAGGATGGGGACAGTCACTACTTGTTTGACTTTGATGTATGCTAAGTCTGTTTGCCATGTCATATTTACTTGATCTTGAAGCTTTGGAAGAAAAACATGTTTGTTATTCTGCTTCTTCATAACAGAGTATTACGTTTCTCATCTATCAGGGCCATAACCACTCGTTGCACTCAATATTCCGATTTAGTCAACCAATGACTCGTTTCAATTGATAACGTTCGGTCCACCCTTTTCTTCAATATGTGTATAAACCAATGTCATCTGTTATGCTAATAGATTACATACATTCTAACTGGTTCCTACAACAACAAAAAAAAAAAAAAACGTCACTGTATAGTAATAAAATGATCATGTTGTTATTGTGGTAGACATATCATTATCATCTGCAGTACAAGTCAGATTAGTTCACTTGCAATTACACCTGTTGTTTATTAGGCCTCTTGTTGACTTGTAGTTGAAGTAATTAAGCACTCAAGTTTCCTCTCAAAGGAGGAAGGAGAACTTATTTAGCTTCCGACTAGAGATGTTTTTGAGTTTTAAATCTACGTTGTCAAACGTAATCTTTATAATTATTCACCAGTGTTGAACTTTGTTCTCCTTTACAGATCGCCGTTAAAACATGACGATCCCAAAGCGCACCAGAGAAGAACAGCATCCTATGGCATACTTTCGACCTCAATATGTGAGGAAATAAACGTATCAAAATATCTCCTGGACATGGTAGTAGCGTTGAAAATTGAGCAAGATGACCACTCCTGTGCTCAAGTTCTGGGCTTATCATCTTGGACGATACTCCTGTGGCAAGCCAGAATGGTTGCTGGCTCTGAGTGCCCGGTCCACAGTACTGATGTAACCATCGATCAGCCGTTTCATATCTGGGGTGAAGGGGTCAAAGGTGGGATGTCGTGCACCTGAGCGCTTGAAATGGCCATCCTTGTTGCACTCAGCACAGAGAAGACTCTCTTCACTGACACTGGTATTGAGGAAGGAAGTTATGGATCGTAATGTGGGCACCAATGCCTCCTGCAACTCCTCATAATGCACCACCAGAAGTCTCTTTCCATAACGCAGCCAGTCCAATACGTGAGAAGCCCACCAGGAGGCATAACTACCCACAAATTCTGGCCACTCTGGAGAGAGTAGAAAGTAGGACAGTAAGAATTACATAAATGAATCTTGAGTTTACATATTATGAGAATATAGTAAAGAATGCATCTCATTTTTGTGTCTCCGAGTCATGGACCTCTTATAATGTGTTCCTAATACCTTTGCTCTTCCAGTGCTGATCAGAAGCGTAACCAAGGTGCCCGGCGCACTTGCGGTTGAACTCAGCCATGAGTGAGCGGTAGGGGTTTCTTATCAACAGTATTGCTGAGTCATACATCTCTATATCCCGCTGGCTGCTCTCGTGTGTCTTCACACAGATGGTTCGTCCACTCTTCCAGTAATCTTTCTCACCCTTGAAGCCTGCACAGTTGGGAGGAGAAGAGGATTAGAATATACAGCCAACTGCATGTGGCGACCACTCAGTGCCGGCTCTGAATCCAAACATATACAATCCAAAAACTGCATCCAAAAACGGTGTTAGTCCAGGCATGAGCACCACGGCCGCCTTCAGGGAAATGTGTCAGGCTCTGTGATGGATTTGAAAAGGCACTCTGACTTTCAAGGCAGGTCAAGTTCTTTAATAATAGAACAAAAATATGCTCAAAGTTTGGCATTTGAAAGAGAACAGAAAGTCATCTCTGTCGAAATGCACAATATCAAGCAATCTCGAATAAATGACGCTTAGTTATGGATTTGAAAAGATGAAAAATGTCAAGAAACTTCACAAACTCTATAAAAGAGTCTCTCTTCTGCATGATTCTACAGCCCCATGTAAAAAAGTCATACTTTAACTGAATTTGCCGTCCATATTGAACGTGATAAGATAAAAAGGCGGCGTACCACAAAATAATGGCAAGAACAGATATCTTTCTATTATAGAACTTGCAAAGAAATGACTCTTAAGAGCCAGTTCTTATAATAAATCATTCCAAAAACTCACAAATCCTGACAAACAGAGTTACTGTTTGAATCAGACTGAATGAACTTTCTGAATCAGTTGCAGTAGTTATACACATTACAAGTGAAAATATTCCCAAATGAATAAAATTGTGGAATTTAGTTTGAATGGAATGGAAAATGACTGACTTAAGAACTTCAAAAATCCACATTGATTCCCATTCATAATGACAATGGCAGTTGTGCTTAGTAATGCAGTTATGCCATGATGATGTGGGGGCAGATTGAAATGTCCATTTTATTTTAGAGACTTTATTACTGAATAATATTATTTCTTTTCTTTTCTTTCTGTTTATGTGCATAAGAGAAAACGATATGATGCTATTATGATAAATGTATCTCATCCAATGTCTGAGCAATCATATTTTTCAGAGTGGCTCAATATGTGGGAAAGATTGCCTCCAGCAATGATGCATGCAGTCTTTTGAAATGGTAATATATTACCACTGATATAGCAGTTTTAGTGTTACCTCTATTGTAGAGGGTGCCATCAAAGTAGTAACTGCCTGTGTAGTAGCCTGTGGCAAGCTCGATCAGATGCCTCACCCAGGTGTTCCCAGCACCAGGAAAACTGGACAGAGCCACCAGTGAACTTGACTTCTCAGGTAGAAACTTCTTCTCTGTGCATCTGGAATCTGGACCAAAAAGGACCTGTTATTTTCAGCCAGATTTACATGAGTTTAAGACCTACAAGTGTAATTTTTAACATTATGCTGTGCTGTTTTTTTCTGGTTGTGTAGCACCAACAGCTCTGCATAGTCCTTTAGAAGGATCCAGATGCTACTGTTTACAGATTTTTACAATTTACTTTCTTGTCTTGCCATATTTTCTATTGCAACAGGAAGCTGTGGAAGGACAGCCCGAAAAGAAAAAAAAAAAACAAGTTGCTATTATCTATTATCTATTGCTAGTCGGTGGCAGGTGGTATTAGATAGAGGTACTTCAAATTTTTACTTCAATTACAGAGATAATTAGTAAGGTAAATGAAATTGTATTAGTCTTACCTTGAACAGGTGTCTGATAGACCTGGAGGAATAGATGATGGGAACTCTGGTTAGGCAGACTGCTGTTTTTCACAGCACAAAGTTCCTCCTTCACTGGCTCGTGAAGAGTGAAGCGAGGGGTGGCATAGCCACAGAAACAGTCGGGCTTCCTGACCAGGGCCAGAGGAAACTCCTGATGATAGAGTAAATATGTGTATGAATCTCACCACAAGCCAACCCCCATGTCTCTCCATCCATACTTAAAATTACAACTATTTTGAGTTATCTGAAAACATTCTCAAGCACTGCAATTAGCTTCTCAGCTAAAGACGAAGATAAATCAATTTACTATGTTGCTGGTGTGGAACAAAGCATGACCATCTAATAGAGAGGGCCAAATTATTCCACAATCAAGGTGGTATAGAGTGGCGCAGAGGATTGATTACAGAGTGAATTTGTACTCTTTAGGGACACATTAAAAGGTTAAACAAGCAGACTGTGTTTAGAAGACTGGGAAAAAATCTGTACACCTAGAGGAACAACAACTAAAGCGGATCATATCCAATCTGAATGAATCTATATATTAAGTCAGACCTGATCCATGCAGGTTTCGATGCACCATTGGGACGTGAGGTTGGGCTGGACGGCATGGGCCAGGGATGCTGCCGTCGTCTTGTCAGGATTTTTGAAACATCCCCGGTAGCGCACGTTCCTGTCTAAAGGCAGAGAAGAATGGAGAACATTGCTGATTGACAGGAGAATAATAGTGTAGGAACAAGACTTTGTGCCAACACTCAATTCATTGCTCTAAGGTCTGGAATGCTGCAGTAAATACGTAATTAGGAACAAATGTAAAAAAAGAGAGAGAGAGAAAAAAAACCTTATAGACCTTCAAAGAGATTTCAAATAGTTCAAGGAATGAGGCTGTATGGGTACAGAAAAGCTGCAAAGAAGCCACATTTCACAGAAAAGGAAACTACACTATCTAATATAAATAAATTCTTTTTTTTTTCTAAGTTGCTTCAGCATTTTCTGAACCCTGTTTTCAGGCACAGCTGCATGTTTCTTTTAGCAGATGCTTTTGAATATAAGGAGAGGGATGAATTTGATAAATCTCAATATGCTTTAAAACGACATTGACATTTTATTTTGAATTAACTTATCATGATAGCAGATGTACACAACATTAATATTAATGATAATATGTTTAATTGATATACACTACCATTGTAGTAGGATATGGTTTTTTGTTTGTTTTTGATATAAGCATGTTATGCTCACCAAGGCTGGATTTGTTTATTAAATACAGTAAAACAGTAATATTGTGATATATATAATTAAAATTTAAAATAACTTTTCTGTTTGAAAAAAAAAAATCCTTTATTCCTGTGATAGTGTAGAGTAGTGCATATTTTTCATATCATCTATATAGCATTTTTCCAAAGTTCATAGTTACTTTGAAAAAGATAACATACTTCATAAGACATTGAAAAACATTGTATTGGTCTATTGGTCATTGTACTATGGACTATGGTCTATCTGTTCCTTTTCACTCTTTAAGTCAGCCCTTTTAACTGACTGGCAATCCTGTGATCAATGTAAATGGTTTCCTGGTGTTTGCGTAGGTATGTGTTTAGAGGTATGTATTTTTGTACTCGTATGCCCTTCACATTCCCGTTTCCCCTTCACATTTACAGTTTTAGCAAAGTTAGCATAACAATTAAAACAATCATATAGAGACCTCTTCATGGCTTTTCTGTTGCATTACATAAATTCTTAAAACCAACAGCCCCAACAATACACAAATCTCTCTTAACAAGACATTAACTGGTACAATCATGGATAGTATATTCAATTTAAGCCACAACACATATGGTCCACGCTTAATAGCTGTGTCTGTGAGTGCTGTGCTGGGCCCGAATCCAGTTGGCCCGAAACTGCAGCGGGACACTGGGTCTGGACTCCGAGGTCCAACAGCATGTGGAAGAGACTGATGAAGGAACCTGTTTCAAACATATGGCCACATCAAAGCTCCACTGCCAGACTGGATTACCTGCAGAAGCAGCGCTGTGTAGGAACTGCAGATTTGTGCATTCATATTTAAATTCATTCATTTGGCAGATACTTTCATCCAAAGCAATTAGGTTATATACTTTTTTTTTATATTTCTACTTTTGTGTTTCCTAGGAACTGAACCCATGACCTTCATTGTCAAGACTATGCTCTTCCAGTAGAGCTTCGTTTTAACTGCAGTGCTAGAGAACAGCATATTCAGTTTTTAGACTTATGAGTTTTTGCATGTTTGTACGAGTAATATTTAATATTCCTTCAGTGATTTTGCATACTTCCCTATAGTAAAGCTACACATGACTTTAGTGGAAAGTCCTGTCTTGAGAATAAGTAAACTTTTTTTCAAGCACTCACATCTCCGCTGGCCAGGAAGAACCTCTTCCACCTTGTAAACGGACAGACGGGACACACCTCCACAGATGGAGCCCTTCTCGCCTTTGCAGTCCAAGTTACACTCCTCTTCTTTCATCCGAGCACTTGTTATGCGGTTGCCACAGTAACATTCAGTCCCATATTCAAGGCCAGCGAACTGGTATCCGCTGTGTTAAACAAAACATTCAAAATCGAATTATACTCACAAATACCCTGGTTGGATAGCATGAATATTTACAGCGGAAACTCAATATATATATATGAAGAGTTCAGATGCAAAAGCCTCTAAGTGCCATTAGAATTTTTCTTCTAGAATGATCATTTTTATCAAGCTTGTATATTTAAGTTCAGTAATTTCACTTAAATTGCAATGAGGATTACCTATTAATTGTCATTTAAGTGAAATTACTGAACTTGAATATATAAGCTTGATAAAAATGATCATTTTAGAAGAAAATTTCCAATGGCACTTAGAGGCTTTTGCATCTGAACTCTTCATATATATATATATATATATATATATATATATATATATATATAGGTGTATGTGTGTGTGCATGTGTGTGTGTGTGTGTGTGTGTGTCACATACTATATACATTAATTTTGGAATAATGTTTTTTTTTTATGTTTCTAAAATAAGTCTCTTGTGATCCAATGGCTGCATTTAATTAATCATAAATAAAGTAAAAAAATAAAAATAAAGTAAAAACAGTAATATTGTGAAATATTATTATTATTATTTTTACAATAAATATTTTCTATTTTAAGCTGTAATTTTCAACATCTGTATTCCAGTCTTTATTGTCACATAACCGTTCAGAAATCATTCTCATATGATAATTTCATGCACACAAGACATTTCTGATTATTATCAATGCTGAAAACATTTTTTTGTTGCTTATTTTTGTGGAAACTGATCCATTTCAGGTGAGTTTTATTTATTTCACGTGTTCACACTTTAAGTTCACATATAATTAGAGTACTCCCCCCGTATGTAAGTGTTTAGGACTAGAAGTGTGGAAAAGGGGTGGTGGAGGGATGCTGCTAAACAATCAATGGAGTGAGTTGAGATTGCTGAATCTATATATACACCTCTTATCATTGATTGCTGGGTGCACTCCACTCGTGTTAATTAACTGAACGTGCTCCTCCTGAACTTTGTTAATACAGTAAAACATCATTTACTTATTATATTATTTTTTCCCAAGGCTGCATTGTAGTAAATTGACCAAAAGTTACAGTAAGAACATTTATAATGTTACAAAAAATTGTTTTTCAAAAACACACTTCTAGAGAAAAGCCTTAAACAAGTAACTCACACTAAAACCCTTGAATGCAGCCTGGACCCAGCAGGGATTCTGCTAAACTTAACCAGCATCTCTCTGTCCATCACTGTCTGTGAGCCCAGAGGTTTACCAGCTGGTGATTGACCAGCTTGCTAAGCCAAACATCTGTTTCACCATTTCCATACCCTGTGGTGCTAGACTCAGCCACTTTGTAGTGGCAGCCTTTCTCAGTGTACCATTGTGTATCACCTGCCCAGCTCTCTCACAGTAATGAACTTGTCCAGGACACTCTTGCATACATCTCCATCTCAACTTTTAGATGGAACGAAAATATTTTTTATTCTATTACATAGACAACAAATGGGCTAATGGTTGTGTTAACCACAACGATCATCCTCCATCTCAAAGCTTTTGTCCTCTGGCCCTTTGCAACCTCAAAAAATCTTTTTTTTGAGGTTGCAAAAAGGCGCAGCACGATTCTATTCAAGCATGTTGGCGTAGGGCTCAACAGGTATTAGCTTGAGCCCCTCTGCAAATTGTTTCCCTGATCCTCTGCTTAAAACGTGGCATTGGCACTGCCATGGCAAACTAGCTAGGGACATTCCCACTGTTAATCTGCACTCTGAATTAATCGCTCAGTCTGACCAGACATATACCTGCAAACACAGAGCAGGAGAATATTTTCTACCTTTCACCAATCTGCAAAGATAATATTGGGCTTGGATGTCAGTTCCTTTTCCATCTGAGCAAACATAGAATGTGTTCTTAGATATACTGTAAGTAACTTTTGTCAGGTTCCATAAATATGATGTCTTACAAGGTTACACAATTTTGTAACTTTTTCATGCTATGCAGAGTTAGACAGACGTCAGTCACTGAGTTGTTTATGTTCATTATTATTGTAATGTTATTTGCTTTGCTTTTAATGCCGTCTTTCAACTTGTGATGGTTTGCAAACTGTGCTGGTTTTTGGAGACGCTATGAAGGGAGGGTGTTTTCATAGCTATCTTGCTATTGCTAGCTCCTCCGAAAATTGCCTACCCTAGCGAATCCTTTAAGCAGCATAACTCAACATTGATAATAAAAATAAATGTTAAATGGTAAAATAAATGGCAACATGACTACAAAGAATGGCAAACTTTGTTCAAGTTTGTTCTTTGTTCAATTTCCATAGATGTTATATCTAGCATAATGTATTGCAAGATGTAATGTCTATGTAATGCAAGACCATAATATTGCACAGGTCAAGATAATTGAGGTAAAACAAAAAATGGAATTTTGCACTACCTTAGTAGCCAACACTTAATTATGAATTCGTCTTCATAGGAAGTCACTATGTCAATGTGAACAAAGAAAATCATCTCTAGCTCATGTTAGGTTTCATGTTTTCTAATGGACTACTTGGATTCTCCCTGAACATTGAAAATGTCACCCAAGTAATTAAATAAGCTCTGAAACATTGGGGGTAATTACAGGAGGTCAGTCTTCCTCGCAATTGTTCTCTGGTGGTCAATTATCTATCAGCCTAAGAACTAGAGAAAGTGTATACTCCATCACGGCAGATAGATGTTTCTCCTCCAGCATTAGCGGAGCCCAGGTCCAGAGTCGCGGTCCATTAATTGGGCCTGATCCCATTCCCAGCATGAGCTCCGCCAGCTGGCACACGGATTCACACTGCAAGTTCTTTTCCCTAAACACCGTTTCATTATTTCGTGATTTAGGATGAGCACAAAGGAGACTCTAGGCAACAGATGTCCATCTGCTTTCCAGTGGCTCCTCGTTTTCAACAAAAGATGTCTGTACTGTTAACTATTGTGTATTAATCACATACCTTTCCATGCAGGTGTCCTGACACAAGGTGCTGGTCATTTTCCGGAAGTCATAGAACACCATCCCTTTGAGTGCCCGGTCCTTGGCATCATCCAGAAAGCAGCCGATATAAGTGCCTGAGAGAAGATTAAAAATCGAATCAGAAATTCAGAGCGTGACCTTTTTCTGCGCAAACAGATGGGAAGATTCTGCAGCACAGCTTGAAATCGAGATAATTGAGAAAATAATCCAATTATCATAAACAACCAATTTGTCATCCTGAAAAGCACACAGCTCATTTATCATAGACTTTCACCTTTGTGTCGGATTTTTCTCTTCGGAAGCACTTTCTCCACTCTAGACGCTTCTGTTCGGACATGAGGCTGTGGAACCAGCGGCGTCTCAGATGTCGGATCTCCTGGTTTCGTGAGGTCAGCCATTGTGGTCCAGCATTGTCTTCGGACAAACCGCTTTGGTGTCCCATCCCCTTGCCGTTGAGCCGTGCACTCATTATTCCATATCTTGTCCAGAGGGCAGGCGCCTCCAGGGACCTGGGAGGAGACGGCAAAGACGGTAATGGAAAGTAACTGCTTGTCCCACGCTGTGACACCACCAATCCATGTCTCTGCAGAAGAAGAACACTTCCAGCCATAATGTAGGCGACGCCAAGGAAGAAGAAGAGTAGCTGAGTCCGTCGTAAAAAGCGCTGAAGCCTGTGGAAGGGCTTTGCCATGTTGCCCTCCTTCCAAGTTAGTGAAGAAAAATGTATTCTACAGTTTCATGCTGCCATTGTTTCAACCAAAAAAAAAGAAGAAGAGACCAATTATACCTCATTCACATTCTGTTTTAAAACTCTTTGAGCGCAAAATTCCTCCGGCAAAATGTCCCGCTTTTTACCTGTGAGAGGATTAAGTGAAAACTTTAGTGTGGCGTTACATCCCCTAGATGACAGAAGTACTTGTGGCAGAATGTACTCTGAGCTCTTACGCCTCAAAGACTTCGGGGAACCTGGTGGGAAAATAGAAAGCAGTTAGACACAAGTCGAAGCACATCTTTCACTTTTTTTATTCACAGAGATAGACCAGAGTTCTAGAGACAAGAAAGAAATATAGAATGTGTAGCAGTTATTTTGGTAGTATGTCTCCATTAAGAGGAGAGAGAAGGGCTCGCTGGCTGGAGAAGCATTAGCTGTTTGTGCTCCTGTCTGTCTTTATGAGTACACAACAAATGTGAAGAGGGACACTATACAGTCTCCTATATTAGGGTGCAAATTATGGGGGGCTTATCCTCTGACAACCCAAAGGCAGTATACACAAATATTTGGGGATTTGTGTGTGTGTATATAATAAAATGAAGATGTGGAAATGTTATTTCATTTTTTACAGTGTTTTCAGCTAGGAAGAAAGCCTAAATTGATCAAAATTGTCAGTAAAAACCTTTGTAATGTTACAAATTATGTTATTTCTATTTCTAATAAATTCTTTTCTTTTGTGCTTTCTAATAATCAAACAATCCTGAAAAAAAAAAAAAAAAACGTAACAACTGGTTTTAAAAAAAAAAATTCTTGATATGATTTCTGAAGGATCATGTGACACTGAAGACTGAAGTAATGATGCTTACAATTCGGCTGTGCCTTCACAGGAATAAATTACATTTCAAAATATATTTAAAATGGAAAACTAGTTATTTTAATAGTTATTTTACATTGTACAGAATGTTTTTTATTGTATGTTTGATCAAATAAATGCAGCCATGTTAATATATATACAGTATATACTGTATATACATTGATTTTACATCAATCCTCAACAGATGATTAAACTCTCTTCCATTTTTTTTTCTTCTTTTTTTGGACATGTAACATGCACATTAGCTGACTGAGTGAAACAAAATCTGGTTTAGTACTGCTTATCTAAGCCAAATAGTTTCTGGAATTTGCAGCACTTTCCCCCTCCATTCGCTTTAGACATTCTTGAAACTTTCAGCCCATTATTTCAGCTCCACTGAGAATCCTTTTGTGTGGCAAAAACAAACCTTGTAACAAGTATTATTGAACACCGGGGTGGGCAGTCCCTTGCTTCCATTCATTCTTGCCAATCAAGCATACACAGAGCCCACTGTGTGCTCCACATACTCTACGTCTATTTTATCTGAAATATGTTTGGGTCCACAGAAGATGAAAACACAGGCTGAGCCTTAATTACATAATCACCAGACTATGAATATTAATGTGGATTTGGTTTAATGTATGGGAATCTAAGGCCAGAAGAAGAGTAAAAACAGAATATCAAACCCATTTTATTTAAGATGGTCTTCAAGTCAATTGACTGTATTTATATTACTTTCTTAATACATGTTTCTGTGCTTAAACAATCCAAAAGTATTTCTGTAATCAAAATGTATTTTGTTTATGCTTTAAAACGTCTTTCCTTTTAAACTGAAATCCCTTAGGATAACCAATAGCCAAATAGCTGTTTTCTTTAACTCTTTTTCAATCTCATTTTACATCTTCATACTTTGGGGCAGATCTTAATCAGAAATAACTGGGCTTTTTGCAGCTCTTTATTCAAGCAGAGCTTTGCTCATTGAACCCATTGTTTTGTCAGTGAGCCCCCGACTCATTCTTTTTAGGCCTGGTGCTGGAAAAATGCCTAGATTTGCATAAACGCTTGAGATGCAGGGGCGGGTGTCCTAGCCAGCACCAGAGGAAACCATAACTATGCGGCGGCTGAGAATGTCAATCAGCCTGAGGGCTCATTATTCTTCTAGCTATGAACAGTGAGTGACTGGCGTCTGGTAGTTTTTCCTCCCTCTGCCAGCACACAGAGCAACTTCAAACAAATCTCTCCTTTACAAGACAGAGGCTGCATGTAGTCGACCGAAATCAAAATAACACACAATGCATCTACCATTCTACATAATATCTTGTTATTACGACATATTATGTCGAAATAACGACTTATTATGTCGAAATAACGAGATAATAAGTCGTTATTTCTACATCTCGTTATTACGACATAAGTCGTTATTTCGACATAATATCTTGTTATTTCGACATAAATATCTAATAAGGGCCATAATAAGTGGCATTCGAATATGCATTAAGCTACATTTAATGTTCTTTTAATGAGTTTCTATGGGAGGAAAATGCTTAACGTCAAATTAAATGCTTTGCTTTCATATTCTGGACTTGTATCTGTTTTTTGTTGTATGAGTTTAGTATCATATTGATTAAGAAATGCAAAAACGAAATGATAAATGTTGCAGATATGTTTTCGGGTACTATCCACAAACAAATTGCTTTCAATTATGTGTGCTAAATTCAGAATTCAACGAATGCCGTGCAACAACGACAATAGTTAAATTATTATTAATATTAATAATACTTCGCAGTAGTGGTAGGCTAAAGCAGAGCAAACCAAGTCAAGTAAAACAGAGTTTCTTTGCGTTCATGTTCTGGATATTATGTTGAAATAACGACTTTAAGTAACGAGATAAGTTTTTTAAAAAGTGATACGAAGTTATCACCAGTGTGTAAACTACAAAAATGCAAATTTGAAAAAAAAGGTGATGTCATGTGCATGTGTGTTAAGTGTTCAGTCTATAAGCGTTTAGTGTTTCTTTACAAAGTGACCTCACCAACTAGTGGCCTGGCATGCATAATACAGAAATTTAAGTAATTTTTTTGCAGATCCATGTGAACAGGGATCATTTTGGTAACGTCATCGTCTGTTACGAAAAACCCAAAGGAAATACCTTTACACTTTTAGTAAATCGTTGTCGCGTACATGCACCATTAGAACTGTCTAGGCATGCCATCTTAAAAATGTTGCACTCATGGCATGAGATGCAAAAAAAAAAAAAAAAACAACAACTAACTTCTCTGTTTTTAGAATGTTTTTTTTTAAAATAATATATTTTTTCCTCATCAAATATTGATATAGACATTTTAATTTATGCAATCAGTTCCATTACAATGTTTAATTGATTGACAACTCAAGTATAAATACATAAATCGCCTAAGATGAGTTGTTGAAAAAATTAATATAGACATTGAAAGAGATTAAAACCACATACGTAGGGCATTTGTGTTTTGATTTAGGTCAGATTGTGCTGATTCGTATAGGCTCTTAGTGGGCATTAAATGTCAAAGCCTACTGACATCAATTGTTATTTCTGTTCCTCTTTCTTTTCTGTAGAAAGAAAACAAATACTTGTTACATTTTTTAACATTATGATTAAAGAAATACAACTAACTAGCCACAGTATTTTCCCCAAACAGAGTAGAGTATTCATGTTATGTATTTTATTTTATTTTTTACCTATTTTTGCTGTTGTGTTTGGGCTTGTTGTAGGGATTATTGATTATATGGTACATTACTTAGCTGATGCTCAGCAGTTTTTGCTTGAAAATGAAAATACTAACAGGTGCTACAGTATGCATTCACTGCTTTGAAGTGAAGGTATGAATCCTACTCAACAAGGATTTTTCACTATAGATCTATTCAGTTGAAAATCACTTTTGAAAATGAACCTGAAATGAGGCCACGGTATGTTTATGAGAGATGAGTTTCTCATCATCTTGGTAAACCGGAGCATTTGGCATAGTCCCAATCTCTCTCTCTCTCTTTTTTTTGTTGGAATATTATTCACTTTAAATAACTGTAATTAATGGAGCCAAAGGGAGGTGGCTCAATTAATTATAAGGATGGTCCGTTAATGAATGTTATAGCAGTGAGATGCGTGGGACACATAATTCATCTTATTTTATCTTTCCTTTTCGCTCTGTTGTGTGCTTGCTGGTAAATGGCATTGCATTTCACACAGAAAGAAATGCATTTATGAATAATAATGCAGAGCCAAGGTCATTTCCATTTTAGTTCAGGGAAGTCTGACGACGCCACAGTGCACTTCAGAGGGCATTAAGTTTGAAATCAAATGTTATTCACCTTTATTTGATGTTTTATTTATTGGACTATTTTGCTGTTGCTCTAGTGACATATGCCTCAAAACTCTTGAGTTGTAATAGCACTGGGCAGAGTCTTCATGGCTGTCGGTAGACAGCAGCGAGCGGGTGCTGTAGGTCTAGACTGGTGCACTCATTTGTCTTCATCTGCTTTCCCAGCGTGTTATCATCTCACTTACAGCAGGGCAGCCACACTTCCATCTCAGAAGCTGATGGGACTGACCCTGGAGCTCAGATGCTGCCTGGAAAGCTCTTTTCTCTAATATAAGCATATTGCTACCATCTCTGGCCATCTGGATGTTATAGTAACTATGAATGAAGTATTTCTGTAAAAAAATCTTTAAGCAAAGAAGGTTTCCACAGTCATAATCTTGCTTGTAAAGAGTGTCACAGTGGGGCGACAGACATATGACAGGTGGCCCGCTGTTCCCCTGGTCCGCAGTGACCCCAATCTGTCTTTTTTTGATATTAATTTAAGGCTAAATCCAAGAAACGATGGAAAAATAAACATTTTTTAAATTATGCTCAACATGTAATGCATTTCTTCTTTCTAATGCACTTAAAAAAAAAAAAAAAATCTGCAATTGACCGTTCGCAAAAGCCACGCCACAAATTATTGTTGTTACTATGCCCGGCAAACAAATGGTCAAACACGATAGACATGACGGGAAGAGGTATACCCTTGCATGTCAGTGACCTTTTTTGGAGCAATACCTCCGCGATATCCTGCAGATCGAGGCACAAGGGGTTACAGTATGCAGTGGAGGGATATATTCAAAATATAAAAATACTTTGTACACAATGAAGGAGACACGACTACAATCAAGGCGAATGCTTATACCAGTCTCAAGTGAGAAACCCCATTACCTTTACCTCAAATGCAACCAGCACAGCCTTGAAGAAGGTTTTGTACGCTGGTTCAGTGGCTAAATGTTTGGAGTTTGAAATATACACAAGGCTTGTACTAGCTCTGGCCCTGACAATATTAGCAGCCACATGCAGACCCTCAACGCATTCTCACCCCAAGGCGTCACCTAACTGA